AGAGAGAGAGAGAGAGAGAGAGAGAGAGAGAGAGAGAGAGAGAGAGAGAGAGAGAGAGAGGTTGATTGCTCAAGTCGATTGCTATTTAGTCCACAACACAAGATCACCATGTGGTACATTCTTGTTGTTCCTGCAATTTATCACATGAAAAAAGCTCGAACCTGAGGGAACAATGTGAACACAAAACAAACTTCTGAAACAAGAGAACGCTAGATTATCCAAACTTTTTTCTTTTTTAACACCCCACATTGATCAAGAACATTGGATACCAATATATGTGAAGAGAGAGCGCCAATTCTGTCCTATTTCTCCCCCTACTCCTGTTCCTCCTCCCCCTCTGCCACTTCTCCTAATCCAAGAAGCAAAAACAGTACACACACTCGTGCGTGCCCGACAACAGTGGTATCTTCAAATCTTATGCTACTCCGTACCTTTTTTTTATAATAAAAGGCAAAATCAAAGCCTCTTAGTGCTTTACAGCAGGACAAATGACAGGTTTTACTCTCTCTCACTTACTCATATCGCTTACCATGGAATGCGGATAACGCGCAAGAGGCAGCAGTTGTGCAGTTATGGAGCCTATGACCTCCAATGCCATCATCTTCCCTGGTGGTCGAGTTTTTTCCCAGCAAAAAATTCAGCAACATGTCAGCAACATTTCGACAGCAATCCAATTGTGACAGTTCCGTCAATGCTAGCTCAGCAAACGAGTCAGAGACAGTTCAGCAGCAGCTCAGCATCAGTTGGGGCATAGTTCTTACCACCTCTCCTAGCAAGGACACTGGGTTAATTAAAAAAAAAAAAAAAAGCCTTTCTGCCTTTCTGCCTGGCTGCCTGCCTCCCTGCCCCCCTGCCCCCCCTGCCCGTCAGCAAAAAGGCTGAAAAAGCATTTATTGAAAAGTTGAAACGTGAAAGACAACCAATGCAATCATTCCTTTCCTTTGGGACATCCGTTAAAATTAGAACGATGGAGAGTAAGATAAGCATGCGCCCTGGACAAGGACAACATGCATAAATCGAGAAATTGTCCAAAAAATTGGGCAAAAAAAAAAAAAAAAAAGGAGTCCATCATGCCATTCCACAGAGGCTTCTCCAGGCCCATGTCCCCTTAACCTTCCCCTTAGGGTATATTCAGATTCAGGCACAAAGGTGATGATGAATATACCCTAAGGGGAAGGTTAAGGGGTCTCCATGACGAGAAAAGCCGTAAAAAAGACATTGTTTTTAACTTTTTTGTCTTGTCTTTTTAGTTTTAACGGAAAGAGAGGTAAACTGGAGGAGGAGGGCTCATACCTCTCCCAGTATCTGTCAGGAAGAAGGACAGAACCAACAGGCATGCATGTAGGACATCTCTGTCCCGTGGCTCAGCACTCAGAGCTGAAAGGCTTTCCAGCAACACTGGCAAGACCTGCAGCACATGACAGCCGAAGTTCACGTGTTTGTTCAGCATGCCAACGATACCACCCACAGCACGGACCATCAGCCGCCAACAATCATCAGAAAAGCAGCAAACACTGATTTACGAGGAGCCTCTCTTTTTTTTTCCTCGTGCTTTTTTTGGCAGAAAACAATTGCTCTGCGGTTCTCAAAATAATCGCTGCTCTTTTGTTGAACATCATCTCCACGCGGTGCCTTCACCAATGCCCTCGAAATACATTTAGAACAATCTTGATCCGTATGCCAGCTGGCCTAGCTCAGTTGACATATACACACATGAACTGTTGGAACACAGACCCAAGTTCCCATCCTCACGATGGAACCAGATGCAACTCTGAATTTACAATATGGGACTGGTCAGGTCCAAGATGACATCTCAAGGCTGATGCCCCGTTAAGGAAAGAACAATATTGATCCGCTGAAATAAATTTAGAAATCACTGATCAGATCGGTACTTGTTATTTACTATTCATCTGTGGAAGGGCCAAGGTTTTTTGACAACTATTTCTTTGGTAATAAAGAAGTTAAAAAACAGACGGGACTCAATTAAACCACCAGTACTTCCAAGGCACTTTTCTCCCGGAGTGGGAAACACACAGTGGGCCAAAAAAAAGGAACCAGCGTGGGCCGCCTTCTTTTGGCTGATGCGGCCAGCCGCTTTGCTCTGGAGGCCGCGCTGCAAAAGTTGCGGCTGCATATGCAAGCCACATATTTTATTCTTTGGCTGGGAAACATACTGGTCGTTTAACTGGGACGTTCCGGAGTTTTTTTTTTGTGTGTGCATACCTGCATGCATCAGCTTTTGTTACGTTTGTATTAATCGGTTCCTGAGTTCTCACCTGTAATGACTTCTCAAATGAGTTTCCATTTGTTTTATTCATCAGGATGGCATCTCGAACCTCATGTTACACTCTTTGCAACACACTTGCAGATAGTATGCAATTCTGACCCACACCCCCCCCCCAAAAAAAAAAAACCAAAACAAAACAAAACAAAGGGGGGTAGCCCCCCCGGACATTATTATTGTACCCATCTGATTCATCAGGATTGGAACTCTGGATCCATCTGTTTATGAACAGTCCGTTAGATGTGTGTATACCATTCATCCACATGGGCTGGGTAATTCTGGCCTAAGCCCCTACAGCTCCTCCCACCCTTCTGCAACACCTGTCCCAACCCAACACCTCCCCCTCGCCCTTGCAAGAGAAAACATTACTCACCTTTGATTCCTGCAGTAAGATCGTTGGGGGCGTTTCCTTCAATAAGTGACCAAATGCGATGTACAGTGGAGCCCTGTCATCATCATTCAATGAACGCATAACAAGCAACACCTCAGTCAGTCACTGAACCGGGGCAAGAAGAGCCAACAATGAGAGACCCAGGTTCATGCTAACAAAGCACGGACCTGGCGGTTATCAGGACTAGGTTCGTGCTTCCTAAGCACTACCACATGACCAGTGCAGCCTGGTCGCAAATAATCAATATAACAATGTGCTATCATCTTGCTATGGCAAAAACTGTGGTAGTCGCCTGCCTTTTCTTTTTCAGAGAAAAAACTTTCGCTCGTTTTTATTAATAAAAACTGGAAACCTGCGGTAGTCGCCGGCCTTGCTCCAGTGTGGAAGGGAAGCAAAACAATACGCCTGTGTTCGAACTTCAAACTTCAAAGCTCAAATCCACCACTTTTAAGGTTTTATAATCCTGTTTGCTTTTCTCTTTTTTTTTTTTTCTTTTTTTTTTTTAAGGAAAGGCCTCTTTATTAATTAATGCACAGAATTCCATGAAAAAAATAATTCCCGGGCTCCCGGAGATTTAATTAATAGGACCAATCATGAACAAGGATGGGCCGGAAAGACTTACCTTTCATCTCTTTGAGGTTCTTACTACTTTCTTACTATTTTTAGTAATATATATATCGTCACAAAGAGAACTGCCAAAAAAGCAAAAAACGGGCACAGTGATAACATGCAAAAAGAAAAAGAAAAAGAAAAAACAAGGGCAGATTGAAACCATTAAATTTCTCATTCTTCTTTGAACTCCACCTCCACTGTGCCTCTCACGTGCAAGGCTCGCC